AGGGTGTCTGTTGTGGGGAGGGGAAGGGAAAGGAGTTTGTAAGCTGCTCTGAGACTCCTTTGTGTAGTGAAGGGCGGGGTATAAATCCAATCTCTTCTCTCTCTTCTCTAATTGCATGAGGATGGTAAATCAGTGGAATGTAGATATTAGGTGAATGACTTACAGTTGAAAACATACCTGGAAATCATTCTCCCGATGGACAGAGAGTGTTCAAGATTCTATCAGTTGTCAGCTGTTGGCAGAGCTAATGGACAATATCATTGTGGCTGTTGATTTTGTGTGTGAAATTGGTTTAATCTTCTCGGCATGCCCATTCGATTTATCATCTTGCAGTTTTGTCCAGTCAGCCTTGAAAATGTAAGAGAGCAGTATATGCAAAGTAGGGTCTGTGTGCGTACTAAACGCTGCTTATATGAAGACCAGCTTTCTTCCCTGAAGCAGCAGTCAATTTTGGAGCCTGAACTCTTTCTAGCTAAGCTGCACTGGGGCTGAAATGCCCCTCTTTCTTGTGATGCTGTCAAAAAGGAAGAGGAGGATGCAGTAGTGGAGAACAGAACTGGGAGGTGCTGTTCAAAATTCGATGCCTCTGAAGTTTCTGCAGTTATGGATGTATGAAATAGCATGGAAAGATGGCAGAGGTGTTTGTGCATGTGTATACACACACACATTGTTATAATGCTAGGGAGAAGCCAGTGAGGCTAAACAGCAAAGAAAATGTGAGAGAAAATGATTCAGGCACAATTTTGCTATGCAGGGCCGAACTAGATACTCTTCTGGAATTTCACCTCCTAGAGCAGTGTTTTGGAAACAGACTTCCCTCTAGGAAATTTTTTCACCTCCTTTTGCTTGTTGGAGTACATTACTGAACTACAGTATCCAGCAGATCAAGAAGCTTAAAAGGAATGTCCCTTTTCGCTTTCGAATATGGATAAAAATCATGGTGGTATCTGAGGGGGTTCAGTGCTAGTTCTTTGGGAAGAAACAGTATCCTGTTAATCGTACAATTTGTTTTTCCAGGTTTAAAGTCACAAAAGTGGAACAGAAATCTTCAAAGGAACGTAAGAACTTGATGTCGGTTAGTAGCATAGATGGTATCAAAGGTGAGATACCAGCTACACCAGTCAGAGATGGCTCTAAAGAGGTGCCCACTACACCTGCTGCCAAACAGGAATCAAACGAACTTCACCACACCCCTGCCAAGCAAGAAGGAAGGGAGAGATCTGGCACAGAATAACACGGGGACACGGAAAATGGTAGAGATCCATTCCGTGGTCTGTATATTGTTTTATAAGGCTTTAAAATGCTTACGAATCCTTCGAATGCACAAGATGGTCACATTTTTCCAAATGAATGCGGCGTGAGAAATATTGCATGCCCTTGCGTTGATTTGCTAATCTGCAAAAGCTATCTGCTTTCAGTCATGTTGTGTGTGTGTGTACCTCTGTATTTCTTTAAAAAGTGAGCAGACAATTTAGATTCTGAGGGTCACTCTGATTTAATAGCTAGAGCTTTGGACTAGGACTGAGGATACCTGGATTCAGATCGCCATTGAGCCGTCCTGATCTGCCTCACGGGATTAAAAAGATAATGGTTTCCCTTTGCTCGAAAGCCAGTCAAATCCGACTCTAGGGGGCGGTGCTCGTCTCCATTTCCAAGCCGAAGAGCCAGCGCTGTCTGAAGACGTTTCACAGGATTACTGTGACACTAAAATGGCACACCCAAGATTTTATTGAACATACGGCCCGCAAGTTTTTTTTTCTAGGCCCAGTTAAAAGTGCTGGTTTTTAACCTTTAACACTTTAGATGTGTTGAGCCCTGAAATATGCAGCCAGATCGCCCTCAGCCTTTTCATTAGGCATTCAGCCTCCAACAACAATGCCAAACTACTTACCTGAGATAATTCTTCCAAAGTATAGAAGGGCATTCGTGCTAGCTTCAGCTGTGATGCCAGGAAGATTGAATGGGATTTCATACTTCGATCGACTCTGGCGGGGAGGGCGGGGTATAAATCTGATAAAGAGTGCTGCGATCGGGGAGTCTCGACCTCCTTGAGGTTCCAGGCCCCCGGGATATTAAGCTTGCCCTAACCAGGGCCAGGGCTTTTTCGGTGGCGGCTCCTACCTGGTGGAATGAGCTCCCGGCGGAGATCCGGGCCCTGCGGGACCTTGTACAGTTCCGCAGTGCCTGCAAGACGGAGCTCTTCCGCCAGGCTTTTGAGTAGGAGCCGCCGCCGCCGCCACTATACCACCACCGTGGCTTGATTTACCATCTACCCTGGTTCCGGGCGGGGGTAGATGCCGCCCAGAAGAGGAACATCACTCTGGCGCTCCTGCTTTCACATCATCGGCCGCCAGTGAGGGACCATCTTGAAATTTTAAATATTACAATGAACTGTAGAGCACCATTTTAGTTGTATTTATTGATGTTTTAATGTAATTTATGTTTTATTTCCGGCATTGCCGCTTGTTTGCCGCCCTGGGCCGCTTGGGTAGGGCGGGATATAAATCCCAAAATAAATAAATAAATAATAAAATAAAATAATTGCGGCAGCAGTAGAATTGACTTTGTGGATCATATTTTGTTTGATTGCCCCAAATTTTCAGCTCTAAGAGATGAACCAATCTCCCCTTTATTTAATCAGGACTTCCTCTCCCCAGAAGCAAAATCATCCTGGTCATTTAGAGACCAAGACAAACAAACTACTCTGCATGTGGCAAAATTTCTAGCTGCTGTTGTCAAATCACATGACAACTTTTGCAGTCAGCAGCCAGTTTGGTGTCGCCGTTAAGTGCGCGGACTCTAATCTGGGGGAACCGGGTTTGATTCCATAGTCCTCCACTTGCAGCTGCTGGATGACCTTGGGCAAGCCATAGTTCTCTCAGAGCTGTTCTTGAAAGAGCAGTTTCTGTCAAGAGCTCTCTCAGCCCCACCTACCTCACAGGGTGTCTGTTGTGGGGATGGGAAGGGAGAGGAGTTTGTAAGCCGCTCTGAGAGTCCAAGTGAAGGGCAGAGTATAAATCCAATCTTTTCTTCTTCTAAATTCTTCCATTGTCTCCTGTGGAATGAGGTTTATTGTGGGTTTGCTGTTTATTACTCTGGTTGCAAAAACAGTAAAGACAATAGAAAAGAATAGAGTCCTGAAATACCTGAAGGGTAACCACCCACTGATATGACTCTGCCCAGGATTTGTGGGTGATGCCTCATTGTGCAAGCCCGTGTTCTTAGAACCAAAATCAGCAGATTATCATACGGGGCCTTTCCAGTTTCCCCTTATCTTGTGCTATTACCTGTCCCAGCTATACAGTTAGGGACATCTCGCCTTGGCTCCCCTCAGAAATTAAAAGCATCTTTATTTTGGAGAATCTCTGAAAAGCTGACATTAACCCTTGTACTGATGCATTTGAGTGCTGCTGATAGCTATTTTAGTGTTTTGCTGCGGTTAACACTGGTTTTAGTGTTTGCATATCTGCAGTGATTATTAATATATGTATTTGTGCCTTAAAATTTGAGCCGATAGTGTTTCTTTCTGTATGAATACGCTAGCAGGCAGCGAGGCGGGAAGGGAAGTCACTTCTAGCGATGCATTGTTTGCTTTTCTTCTCTTGCAGATGGCGGTTTTTAGAAGAAGCGCATCCGCGATGACACTTGGAAACATTCGTAATTGGAACACTAACGTTTCGTAAGAGAGACATTTGTAAAGATGCTATCATTGTGCCGTTTCTGTGACCGTATCTATGCAAGGCTTGGACCTGGATACTCAATATTTCAGTGACTTTTTAAAAAAAATTATTGTGTCTAGTAATTAGAACGGTGCCGGGACATACAGTCTGCATATTTTTTTAAAAAAGTAAAAATATTTTGCATGCTCACTTTTAACACGGCAAAACTGAATGAAGTATTTCTTGACATGGCCACAGCGGCTGCCCTGTCGTGTTTCTGCTGCTGTATTGCAATGGAAGCACATGGTCATGTAACAAGATGTTCAGAGAAGGAAGATCCCAATGTGGTGCCCATTTCTGAGCATTAAGCCTCGGGACCAAAGCTGTGAGCCCTGTGTCCGATTTTAATTTATTGCTAGAATACCAATGACGGCTGAATTAAGCTTGGCTTAATTATATTTCCTCTGTATACTTACCATAATCTGTGTTTTGGTGCTCTAAATAGCGACAGCGTTTGCACCCTGACGACGCTCGCAGTTGGTTCGCGCGTCTTGGTAGGTGCCATATGAAATCCGGAGAGAATCTTAAGCACCTTAATATACTACAAAGGGTTGTGAGTTAGTGGCTTTTGAACTAGCCTGTGCCTTTGTATGTGCCAGTTGACTCCACACTGTTTCTTTTTTGGCTGATGGTTCTTCAACTGATCACATATAAACTGTGAAGACGGATATCCCTCTGCATCTTCTGAGTGGGTTTAGTCTCTCTGTTTATTCATGAAAGTTTTTTTTTACTGCTTCCTTCCCCCCCATGAGCATCATGTAAGTGACGCATGCTCGAAGAGACTGAGATCTTATATCCGTATTAGTGCATTTTAGAAACAGTTTGTGGCTAAAAATGTGACTTGAAACGTTTTTTTTTTAAACCTGTTATTTGATTAGAAATATATACTAATTGCTGTATATCCAGTCTGTTTAACCAGGGTTTGAGCCAAAATGGGTGGGTGAGTACATGTAGATGCCTTTCTGTATACTTTTGGCCTTTGCTAAGAACCATTCCCTTCCTTTTTGCAATTCGCTTTTTGGGTGACCGTAGCAAGAAGGGATGGAAATATTTGCCCACTGAGAGAGAGGTCAGTAAGCAGAATACCCTCATTTTGAATTGGCTTTGTGATGTCACAGAGCCAAAGTTGGGATATCACACTAACTGTATGATCCCAGTCAGCTGGGTTGTAAAGAAGCCCACATTTAAAGAAAATGGCACTGAAGGACCTACTAATTGGGAATCCAATAGTCCCTGAGCCAAGGTGAACGGGGGGCGGGGGGGCGGGGGGGGCGGTCGGGCAATAACTGTGCTCTTCAGTGGCGGGGGGGGTACTCTTTGCAGCCCAAAGTTGGACACAGAATATTTTAGAAATTTATATTTTGCTTACACAAATGCCTAATGGATTCAAAAGAGATGAAGACCAGTTCAGGGACAGCAGTATGAATATGGAAGCCTGTTCCTAGGTGTAGGTGGAAACAGTCTGGTATGTACAGAAGAACTGGACGGGGGCAGAGAGAGAGAGACCTGTGCATCTGCCGTTAGGTAGTCTCAGAACTTGTAATCATCTCATTTAAACGACTCTGTCAACCATCTGCTTGGCGGGAGGAATCCTCGTGTACTCACCGGTATACATTCAACCCATTGCCTTTTGGCAAGAATCTCAATTGTGGCTGTTTTGTACAGATACTTGAATGAGAGAGAGTGTGTATCGCAACCATTGTACAGCACATGCTAGTGTATCAATGTCACTGGATTGCCATTGTGAAAATAAGGCCTTTTCCCAGATAGGTATGTAATGAAATGTATTTTAACAACACGGTTTGTATAAAAACTTTTGTACTACTTGGACAATAAACGGTATAAAATCTTTTTAAAACTTTCGTGTTGTTTTCTTCCAAAAAAGATCTCACATTTCTTTACTGTAAAATATGAGAGTCGTAAGAGGCGGGATCTTTGTGGTAGGGGGATGACCACCTGCCTCACGTGGTATATTTTGTGATACCATCACTAGACAGTGGGTTGGATCCGGCCAGCTTTTCCACATTATCTTACCCAGTTCCACTGTCCACTACAGGCCCTCTTCCACGTGGCTTTTATCCATGTAGATTCCCTGATCTCCAGGCACAGCATTTTTGGTCATCAAAGGGGACACCCCCCCCTTTCACCAGTAGAAAGGCTAGCTGGATTCAATGTAGTCTTTGATCAGTAATTTAGAGTTTGTTTTTTGTTTTTAAAAAACCACATCCAAGGAGGGCAATTTAGATTCTCCGTCTGCTTCTACAAAAAGCTGGTTTCTGACACTAAATTTGTTTCTAGTTACTTGTGTTCAGGAAATGTTGTCAAAGTCAGCTTGACGTGACACTTCATTTTTCTGCTGGTTAATGTAATACTCATGGATTCATTGCCTACTTTTTCTAGGTTCCAGATTTGATTAAAAGACTGTGGTTATGGGTCCACGTACTCAGGAGAGAACTCTGAACCAATGAGACCTATTTCCAAGTCAGCACGCATGAATTGGGAAGGATGGATTATTCAGTAGACCTCTCCATCTCATTGAGGTAGAGACAGAAGTAGGTATCGGGATGTGTATTGAACTGGTTCAAATCATTCCTCACGGATTGGACGCAAAGGGTTGCCATTGGAAACCAGTTATCCTCTGTGGGGTTCACCAGGGCTCAGTTCTATCCCCCATGCTTTTCAATCTCTATGTAAAGCACTTAGGACAAATCATTTGTAGCCTTGGGGTTGGTTGTCATTAACAGCTCCTCACCCACAATGATGCAACATCTAATTTGAACATGGACACTGGTACCAGAGCTTGTAGTAAACCCAGATGCCAACTTTGCTGCCACATACACTCAGACAACACAGTCACTGGACCTAACATCCACAAGATTGAAAAACCTGTAGGAGAACACTTCAAACGTCCAGGGCATTCAGTGGGTGACCTCAAAGTAGTCGTTTTATTGCAACGGAACTTCAGGAACATACTAGAAAGGGAAATTGCTGAATTACAAATTATTACAACACTCGGAACAAGAACCCAAGGAGTGATTAACACATGGAATTCACTGCCACAGGAGGTGGTGGCGGCTACAAGCATGGACGGCTTCAAGAGGAATTAAATAAGCATATGGAGCAGAGGTCCATCAGTGGCTATTAGCCACAAGGTATAGATAGGAACTCTCAGTCTGGGGCAAGGGATGCTCTGTATTCTTGGTGCTTGGCGGGGGGGCAACAGTGGGAGGTCTTCTAGTGACCTGGCTGCTGGACCTCCTGATGGCACCTAGTATTTTTGGCCACTGTGTGACCCAGAGTGTTGGACCGGATGGGCCATTGGCCTGATACAACATTGGCTTCTCTTATGTTCTTATGTTAACCTCCTCAGGATTTAACAAGGATATTAGTTTCTTATCTCACTACATGTGCTAAACTCATTCAGTCCTTACAGGTATGTATTCTTACCAAGAAGGGCTATACATTCTCTTTATTTGAGTGAATTTCTTTTTTAATAGTATATTGAAATAGAGATTGTAATATAATGCAATGAATATTGGAATGCAGAAGAAGAGGAGTTTGGATTTATACTGCACCCTTCACTTGGAGTCTCAGAGCGGCTTACAATCTCCGTCCCTTCCTCTCCCCACAACAGACACCCTGTGAGGTAGGTGGGGCTGACAGAGCTCTTTCAAGAACTGCTCTTTCAGAGCTCTCTCAGTTCTCTCAGAGCTGTTCTGGAAAGAGCAGTTTTCAAGAGAGCTCTCTCAGCCCCACCTACGTCACAGACAGTGTTCCCTCTAAGGTGAGTTAGTGTGAGCTGGCTCAGTTTTTTAGCCTCCAGCTCACACATTTTTGTCTTAGCTCAGGAAGGATGGGGCTCCAGAACAATCTAATTTATGCAGTAGCCACATTTTTGCTCACAAGACTCCACAGCTTAGAGGGAGCATTGCTCACAGGGTATCTGTTGTGGGGAGGGGAAGGGAAAGGAGATTGTAAGCTGCTCTGAGACTCCTTCAGGTAGTGAAGGGTGGGGTATAAATCCAATCTCCTCTCTTGAGAGAAGAACAGGTCTCAGAGAACTTTGACTGACCCAAGGTCATCCAGCAGGTGCAAGTGGAGGAGTGGGGAATCAAGCCCGGTTCTCCAGATTAGTGTCTGCTGCTCTTAACCACCACACCAAACTGGCTCCCACCAAACATGTGCTGCGGGCACACGGGCAGGAAAATGCGGGGGGGAAGCGTGGCTGTTTGCCCCGGGGCTAAAAACCGCGCGGTTGCGCGAGCAGACCTACCGTGGAGGTCCTGTGGTAGGGGGGAGGTGCCAATCACTCCACAGTCCTGTGGCGTGGCAAAGAAGCGGGGCGCGGGGCAAACGGGGTTGGTGTTTTTTAAAAACTCAAATGTGCGCATGCTCCCTTGGGTGCTTGTGCGCATCCGTGGAGACTTTGGAAAAAAAACCCTTTTTGCGAGGGGACATGGGCAGGCGCCGGAACTACCACTGGAAACGCGATCAGATGCCCGCCCTTGCCCCGCGGTTTCAGGAAACTAGTACCTCCGAGGTACTAGTTTTTTACCACGCATCTTCCGCGGGAAGCCTCGGGTTCGCCACAGGAGCTCAACGCTTCCCAGATGTGGCGGTGAGATTGCACCTGGAAAATCCGCCTATCTTCCGTCCCTCTAGCGTGCCTTATGCTCCGTGTGACCGCAGCCTTTATTTCTCTGATCTGGTGACAGAGGAGACATATACTGCATAATCAGTAATCGGGGGATGTGGGACGTATGGTGGTGGGGCAAAATTTTAGAATGGACAGAGGCTGAGATATGGTTATGCTTGGTCTTCCAGTCTCTGCCCCATCCTGAAACATGTTGGTAGTGAGGGCTAGAAAGAAATAATTGTTTTGCGTCCTCTGTTATGTCTTCTGATACTGCCTGACGCCAGCCAGAGGCAGCTAGAGCTTCAGTCCAGAAGACAATAGGAACTAGGCTCCTGAACTACAAGTAAGGAGCCAATAGGGACATTGGCGGGAAGTTCAAACCCGCCAATAGGACCGAGGGATGTCCCTCCGCACTTGTATAAAGTTGGCCATCCGGCCGTTCGTTTCTGTTCCGTGTGTTACGTACTAATAAATGCATCTTCTCCGATGTCGTGGCCCGCGTCCTGATGTATCAAACCCAGTACTTTTCATCCTCCATTGCATCCTCAAGCTCTTACCCAGCTCAACTATTCATTATAATCAGGGCTCTTTTTGTAGAAAAAGTCCAGCAGGAACTCATTAGCATAATAGGCCACACCCAGGAGCAGAAACTCATTAGCATATTGGGCCACACTCCGGACAGCACATCTCATTAGCACATTAGGCCACACCCCCATGTTACCAGAAGTGTGGTCATCCAGCCACACCCACCTTTTGCTTGTTATTCTGTTTACCTTGTTTGTTGTCAAAACCCAGGGCTTTTTTTGTAGCAGGAACTCCTTTGCATGTTAGGCCACACACCCCTAATGTAGCCAATCCTAATGCGTTCCTGCTGTTGGGTGTGGCCTATTATGTTAATGAGTTCCTACTGGGCGTGGCCAACTCGGAAGCCAGCCGGAACTCCGTTCCTGTGCGTTCCTGCCCAAAAATAGCCCTGATTATAATTCGATCCATAACTTCCCTTCCACAGGGAAACCAAAAAGATAGTAAATTGGTCGTTTGTGGTGAGGCATTTGCAAGCTGTTTTGTGGATAAAATCTTGTAATTCCACCAAGCCTTGCCAGCCACTATTGATATAGTACACAAGCTGGAGGCCCCTTAGTTGTTGTCAGGCCCAACTTCTACCGCTTCAGTTGACTTCCCCTGGATTAGGTTGACGGGATCCTGGCTGCTGTAAGCTGCCCTGAGCCCACTTGTGGGGTAGGGCGGGGTATAAACTAAATAAATAATAATAAAAAGTAGCAGCAGCACTTACCTGCCTCAGTCCAGGTGTCTCCAGAGGTCACCCGTGAAGAAGAGACTGGATTTATACCCCGCCCTTCACTACCCAAAGGTGTCTCAGAGCGGCTTACAAACTCCTTTCCCTTCCCCTCCCCACAACAGACACCCTGTGAGGTAGGTGGGGCTGAGAGAGCTCTTGACAGAAACTGCTCTTTTTCAAGAACAGCTCTTATCAGAACTATGGCTTGCCCAAGGTCATCCAGCCAGGTGCAAGTGGAGGAGTGGGGAGGGGAAGGGAAAGGAGATTGTAAGCTGCTCTGAGACTCCTTCAGGTCGAGGAATAAATCCAAT